GATTATCACATCGTGCCGCAACCACGTATTAAACTGCCTCAGCTGTGTGACTTCTGGCTGTTCAGCAAAATCAAACGACCTGGAACTGTTTTGAGTCAATGGAAGACTTTAAACATAGATCGCTACACTCATTTAAGGCTATTTCGGTAAATTGGACTACATAGACGTTTAAATTATGAACAAAGCTTAACAATTTTGCTCATAGTATCACGAAATATTTATCTAAGGTATTTGGTTCATTTCGTTTTTCCCAAATTTAGATAAAATCCCATTGTTTTATTTCAAAATTAGTTTTAGCTGCAGATGATGAGACGAGTTGAAATCCAAGTGAGTGTCTTTCCATCCATCGTCTGTCAGCTTGCACAGGCTTGAATAACAATTGATATATCGTAATGAAGTTTTGTACACGTAACCCTTAGTAAAAAAGGACGAGTTCATAGATAGCTGGCACTGGAGGGCCATATAATTCCTTTGATCGAAAATCTATAAAATGCCGTAATTAAACCCTAAATTAAGATATAAAACTGCAAGTTGGTACAAGGAATTTGGCAAGATTTGACAATTTTTAAAAGTGGGTGGCATTAGACTCTCTCTGATAATATAGACTTACATGTCGACTAGTACGTTAGAACCTGCCTGCTATCTTTATCGATTATCCAGTGAGAATTTCATGACATTTCATTTACTGAAAGTGAGGTTATTGCGTTTTAAGTGTCAGTATCTTTGTGTTATCGGTGCGAAAATGAGCTTCGAACACAGCGCCAACAATAAATTTTGTTTCAAGATTGGTAAAGCCTTTAAAGCAATTGATGAAACAAGTTTATGGCGATGATTGCCTATCCCGTAGCAGAGTGCACTAGTGGTTTTAACGTTTTCATGGTGGTCGTGAGGACATAAATGACGATGAACATGTGGGAAATTCCATCGAAACTGTGCGTAAATTCACCAAAAATCAGAAATCATCATTGAAATTCATGGAAGTGGAATTGGACATCTCCAAAGCATCGATTTATCGTCTTTTTACGAAAGGTCTGTGCACAGTTTATTCCGCACAAATTGACTGACGACCAAAAATTGCTCAGAATCCACATTCGAAGGACGATTATTTGACCAAAAATCACATTTTAACCATTAACCACTAACCGTATTCATCTGATATGGCATCATGCGACTTCTGCCTTATCGGAAAAATGCATTTGCCTATGAAAGGAAAGCGTTATGTAGACGTAGAGGCCATTCACAAGGCTTGCACCGGCATACTGACATGGTTTTGGGCTATGCAAAAAACTGTATTGAAGCGGAAGGATACCATTTTGAATAAAATAAATTGATTTTGCCGAAAAAACCTTTTCTTTTTTTTTTAGAGTCCTGTTTACTTTGGAATGCACCTTGTATATCAGCATAAATTAGAGCTATATCACCCAAATTTTTGCAAGCCATACATAAACTCGTTTGATAACCATGGGTTCCCATATAGCGATTTTGTTCAAGACTACTAAAAGTGCGACAAAGCAATAACTATATGTGTCATAGAATCAAATCTAATATCCAGAATGGTACAATAGGATTTTATAGGGGCAGGTATCGAAAATGGGTGATGGGCGTGGCACCGTCCACATTTAAGTGAAAATCTTTATCTCAGGAACTACTCTACCGATTTGAAGCAAATTCGGTACATGATATAATCCTAAAATTCTTACGTTACGGTATTAAAATGGGCGAAATCACAAAAACAGCATGCCTACTTCTCATATAACACAATTTGAAATTCCATCTGATTATTTAACTTTGTAGCATACAAATGGAAAAATATTCAATGTACCTGCATAAATCTTTGCACAAGTCAAGTGCTCAATAAAATAGAGGTAATTCATTTTACATTCAAAAATTACTTTTCATGCAAATATTGGATGTGAGATACACCCAGACAAGAAAGTATCGGAAATTCTTCATTTCACCTTTCTCTCCCGCTTACATGGAAGAAATGTAAATTTTTTTCCTATGTTGGTACAACTGTCCTTAATTATGGTGACAAAAATAGCAACAAATACGATATAAGAGTTGAGGTCGACTGAATACACTGGTCGACAGATAGTGTTAATTTTTCACATCATAATTAAGGATAGTTGTACCAACCTAGGAAAAAATTTAACCTGTCTTTCATGTAAACGGGAGATTTAAATGAAGGCAGGGTGTAAAATATTTGGTTACAGTCGACTTAGACGCCCTTTACTTGGTTCAACTACCTTTACCTATGTGCGATACAAAAATGGAGATTCAGCTGTAAAAATTTACCTATAAGGGTGCTACTGAAAGCTGACCAGAGTAGCACAAGTCGTTGAGGCTTTCCTGTTCAGCAGCGATTATGAGTGCATCATCTAAATGTAATTATTTTGTACGAAATGTATATTGTTTTTAGCAACTTAACCTATGAGTTGTATGATATTAATCTCCACAAATGAAAAGACAACGGAGGAGTTGTTCAAATTCAATAATTCAAATATCCGACATTTGAACATTTATGTATTGGCAATAGATAACTTGGTACTTAAATGGTGCTTATTGATTAAAGTTGCAAGTTCTCGCTTAGATAGTTGATGAAAAATTTTCTAACTATTCTCATTATAAGCAAAGGCACTTTTATGCTTTGTAAAAGTTTTGTAAAGTTCTTATTGAAAGTTTAGCTTATATTTACCACAATTATCGAGCTCCTACTGAGCGCTCTTCAAACACAGAGTACATTTCACATGTTATTAACTTTTCTTTTATACTTTCACAACAACAAGCAAAAAATATTGAACAATAGAAAATAATCATCATACATGGAGTCGCTTTAATGGTTTAATTAATAATTTTTTGATTTTCCCCAGATAACTCTTGTTCAAGATCTGTAATTTGTTTATATGTACCAAAGATGGGTAATCAGTTGTCTTGTACATTTTCTCATTATTGTATCTCTAGTGCACACGAATGAGATGTATGTTGTTCTTTTCATTAACCTAATTTTGGATTCGATTAGCTAAATATTTTAAGGCAATCGACGGAAGTTAATGATTTTTCTTTGTTGAAGAGACAGATCTCTAAAACGTTTGAGTACGCACACTTAATAACTGCATCAGTAGATAAACAATAATGATGACTCAACCAAAAGCACTAGAATACCTGAAGATGAGAGGAGTTAAAGAAACAGCAATTCTTGTTTGAACTATTTAGTTGGTCTAGAGGTAAAAAGCTTTTCGGGCGTTTTTGTTAGCGAGCATAAAAAATTGATACTCCGGCTATAAATATATTTATGTTTATTTGCTTATAAGCACGTATATGAGTGCAGATATTATGCGCGCATAAGAAAGCTAAAAAATATTAAATTACAAGCTAAGGTGCTTAACTCCGCCCACATGGTGCTGCACGATAACGACACGTGTGGACGATGGAAAGTATGACAGTAAGAAGTAGAATTGCGCGTTCGTGGCTTAAGTCTATTGTACCGTACTTCCAGAATTTATTATAGCGTATTTTAGTGTTATTAGCCTATGGCTACAAAATAATAACCAGGCGGAAGGAATTTAAAGAACTTGTAGTAAAATAAATACGAAAATAAATATCATGTTGGATTTATATAATGTAAGCTTTAAGGTTGCTTAATTACTTTTCCCTCTGCGAAATTGTCAAATAATTTGTTACATCCGCGTCAGCGCTTTACGCCACTAATAACACCTTTCGAACTATTGATTTTCGTTGTTGATTGTTTATTGCATATACATATGTATATTAAGATTTTGTTTGAATTTTTAATGAATGCCTACCTGGGCATTTACCTTGTTACCTTTCTCTCTTTTATTCGCGAATTTATGAAATTGCAAAATATGGAAGGGTGATATCATTGCCAACTTTATTTTGTCTCACATACACCATTATGATGAACTAGTAGAGTGGTAGGGGATTACTCAACGAACTCAACAAATCACATACGCTTGTGCGTAGCTGTAATTAGCCGTTTTCGGGTAATGCAATCAAGTACTTCTATATTCGGCCAGCAATCTCTTATTACAAAAAATTAAAAACCAAGAAAAAACAAAGCCACAAGAGCTTTAGGTGTGCATAAGAAACCTGAAATTATTTGGTTTGCTGTTCATTTAAGCCATTGGAAGCTGTTATTGAAGACTTTAAATTGCAAAATTTGTACAAGATTTAAAGCTGGAGTGAATAGGGTTCAAAATGAAATCGGAAATAAAACAATGGAATCACCATAGCATTAGAAATAACCGGCTCTATCGAAAACCGGTGGTGTTTTCGTAAAGTTTGTTGACAATAAATATTCCACAAAAAGCATAAAAAATAAGTATAAAATATACCAGTCATACATCACTCATGCTTATTGTATCTTTGAATTAGTTAGATATTGGCCAAGTTATGCTGTGGATGCGGGATTTCAAATTTTTATTTTTACTTTTATACATTACTTTTTCTATTATTTGTTATATGGCTACACGGAATATGGGCAGCCAACAAACTGAAACGAGTTTCTTGGTAACAAAATATTGCATTTATTGACAGTGTAAGTTTAGCAACTCTACACAATATGTACATATGCTTTTGTAGAATTAAGTAAAATTTCAAATTTTAAATATCTGGAAAAGAGCGTGCAGCAGCCGCATCAAGGCAACATCAAATCGTGATTCTAATGAACGCGGCTCTTGAATTCACCACGCAATAGGAGGAACTCACTACCCCATAGCTGCTCTTGCGTCAACGGCCCGCGATAAGTCTACAAAAACGATCACCGAGTTTGTAGAGAATGAATGAGCGAAGCAGTTTAAAGTGTTGGATTTTACGTCTGAGCGGGCAAGGCGTAACTAGCGCTTTTAGACGTGATTCTGTCTAATGCAACAAGTTGTCCGCTAAGCTACAATGCGTGTGTGGAGAGTCCGACCATTGATATTAGCTAAAGCGGCTGCAGGTAAGCTTTGAGGCGAGTGGCTAAAACAGTCGAGAGCAGATAATCAAACAGTGCGGGCCAAGGTACGGATCATTGTGTGGTACTTACTATCATTATTGGTATATACATATGTATATACTTTTGGCAGTTGGGGAGTGTGTTGTGTTTTGCTAGTCGCTTGATCGCTTTTGTGTTTCCAAAACAAAAGACGAGCAAATATTTAAATGAAGTGAGTAAAAAAGATGAGTGCTTGGCTTAAACTATTTTGAGATACTTTTAAGCGTGAATCGTTAAGGCTTTCCACTGAAACTAAACAAATTTTTCAACATGCTGAATTCCTGTGTAATGATAGTTGTAATAAATTCATTTAAGAATTAACAATGGAGCATGTGTGGAGGAGTGGGTGTGAATGAGAGCGCGAGCTGAACGTTAGCGCAACAACAACAAAAGTTGCCAATTTGTACACTATGCAACGACTGACCCTTTATGTAATGGCAAATTTCGTGCAAAGGTGTGGAAATCATTAGCAAAAGTGAATAAATGTGAATAAAAATACAACAAAAATTAATTACTTAAATATTGCACAACAATGGCATGAGTGTAAATGTCAGCAAATGAGGTCAGCAGTGAAAATGCATACAACAACGCTTGCGATTTAACACCAAAAATAGATATTTTTGTACAAATTCGTGAGCACAGCTTACTTGCACAAATCTAAGTTTTTCTCCTTAAGTTTTAACGGTTTATTATTTTACGAGAAAATTTAAAAATTTCATTACTTGTACACATAAAGATACCTCTCACAAATTACACCTACCATCGATCTGATGAAATTAACATAAATACAATAACTCAGCTGTTCCATAATCTTAAGCAATAAAAACCGCTCACACTTATAAAAAGAGTGCTAAATTGCACAGCATCAAACTTCCTCAATGGAATCGAAGTTAAAATGAATTTCTTGCTTAAAATATAAGCTTATACTGTTTCCACGTATTGGCTAATTTTTAATAAGTTCCCAAGGAAGTGTGTGAGCGTAGCTACATATGTCATTTTAAATTTTTGGCAACTCAAGGTGAACGGGCCATGTCGGTAGGTAATCACTGGCTTGTTTCGCTTTCACAGTGTTGTTCGTGTTATATGCACATATGCGAGTATTGCTTCGTGTGTTTCGTGCGATTCTTCTGAACTCGTCATCAAATAAAGCTTTTGAATAAAAAATAACTGAGAGTCATTAGTTGTGCTTAGCCAGTTTTAAACAACTACAAAGTGAAATAGACAAAACGCCAATTTACCAAATGCACCACAAAAACAATGCAATAATGCAAAATCAAACAAATAATAATAATTAAAATAAAAAACACTCAAAACCAGAACAATAAGATATAACGTCGTAACGTCATCAGCCAAAATTTTGTGGCAGTATGTGGCAGTGAGTGGCGGCAACAAGTTTTGGCTTAAACTTGCTTCTGCTTCTGATGCCAAGCTTGACTGCTCGGCTTGTTGCCGCTGTTCATATGTATTTTCATACTTTTGCCCTCTTTGTGTAGCTGTATATGCGCGTGTACATACATATGTACATTTTTTCGGCTAATTCAAAGTCTTTTCGATCGTATTTGTGTTGTAGGTTTCGTGAACTTGTTTTAATGTACATATATTTTTCTCCGATTGTCAAATAACAGAGACTGAAAACATTGTTTTGGAGACTTTGGCTACTCAGCAAAAGCAAATTTTTCAACAGAGCTTAAATTTGTCTAAAATTTTATATTGGATACACATTTTGAATGCGTGCAAAACCGAGGTGAGTTTCAAATTAGCATACAGTTTTCAAAATTTATGCAAATTTATTATTATATGTACTATTTGAAATATTATTAACTATTAACTATTTGCATGTCTACTTATTTCTAACTATAAGAATATTATTTAAAAAATGTTAGATTTATCGTTTTCGTATGACTGTTACCTAACATATTTTCATAGCCTCATAGAACAGACGGATACTGAGAAATTACTTTTCAGTTAGTTTTTTCGAACGGATAGAGGAAATTTTCAATGGCTAGCAGTACTTTTTTGTATGCTACGTTCATATGTATTCGCATGCATGACACACATATACATATGTTGTTTACTAATATATGGATGCCTCCTTGATGGTTACCACTGAAGCGTGACGACTGTTAGCTAACTGATTTTCAAGTAGTTATGCCAACGGGTTGCATGTGCAACTCGGATAATTATTAAGAATTGTGATTTGAGCCAAGCACGCAACTGACAGACGAAGTGTGTTGCATTGAATTAACCCATTTAAAAATTAACTTGCGCTCCTACAATACATAAGTGGGCTACATTCATTATGTTCGTACATAACTAAGAGTACAACATGAGTGGGTACGTATGTAGGTAGTACTATATATTATGAATGTATAATTTATATAATGATAATTTAAAGCATATACATACTATTTCTAGCTGAGGTTTTAATAACATAGGGGCTTAGAACTTACAAACTGGCCGCCAAATAACGATACAGCCCGTCTGCCTTTTTGCTGATCTTCTTCTTTATAAAAAACTTTTCTCTTTTGCTTATTGAAATGCAACAAATCAAAGGCTAATATCATACAACAACTCTCCTATAGATTGATTTCTAAAGGAACTAAAGTCTAGCTTCGTCTGGGAACAAAATGTCATTGTCAATAGCCATAATAATTAGAATCAAAAGTCACTAAAAGGTTTTATCTCGAGGTTTAATAACTTACATTTAACTGTAAAATAAAACCACCGTAGTTTTGTATTTGTACAAACTTATTCCAATACAACAATAATTATTTTTTCGGTATTCCCTTAATAAACTAGGGGATTTGTGTTATGAAATGTCTGTCTAGATGGCAGAAAAACCTAGGTTTAAAAGATTATACAGATTTTAGAATTTTTTTTATTTTACTGGCCTGGACACCGCTTAAACGTGTGAAGGTATTGATCAAAATAAAACACCGTTTATTAACCGAGTATATTTATATTTAATTGTGAATATTAGAATGTTTAATTTAGTATATAATTCAAGAATATTAAACGTAAAGCTCTAAAAACCAAAGTTGCACGTCTTACTTCCTCGCGTTTGCTCTCGATAATCCCCCGCAAGCATCACTCGTCTTGCCACTTGTTGCTTATTTAGTAGGCTTGCCATCTATCGTTGACAAACGCTTATAGCTTAGTTAAGAGGTTTCTAGTCCGAGGCTGTTGTTTCTTTTCCATTGGGGGCGTATTTTTACGTGGCGGGTCCCAAACCCCGCGCACAACCCTATGTAGGGGATATTTCACCTTCTCACTTTAGCTCGCCTTCAAACGGATTTTCTTTGGCTACCCGGATGATACTTGGACTAAGACCGGACGTAGAGTGCTGCTTGAGCCATACGTAAGAGAATCATTTTAGGCCACTCTCAAGTGAATAGTGCTCCGAGACTTTCCTCACTTGCCCGAAATTCTACACATGACTTCATTCAAAACAGATTTTAGAACTAAGACTAAAACTTTTTTCGGAAATTAAAATACTTAAACATATACTATATGTAAATATATTATTCCAAAATTCATATCTTCGAATCAGAATCGTGTGATCTTAACAAGGAAAAAGGCAAGAATACATTGAATAATTTGTCATCTTTCAATTTTGCAGGGACCACCGTCTTTAATTATACTCTAATTGTTAAAAGCATTTTTCAAACTTTATTATACATTTTAACCAATTTGTTTGTGATAAATACAGTTCCATCCTTTATTGCAATGCATAACACTTTATTAAGTGCGTGTATGGATAAAAAAATTTCACAAAAGAAAACGATGTGGGCGAAGTTTTGAAAACCTTCGCGAACTTCTTCTGCAGTGACTTCAATGTCATAAAGCATGTGCCGCAATGCCAGGCCGATCAATCTATCTTGAAGCATGTTCGTAGTCAGTCATGTTTTCATATGCGAGGTTTCGAAAAAGAGCGTCTACAGCTGGCATTCGTCACAGGAAGTGTGCAGAATATGTGACGATAACTATGAATTATGGGGTATACGTCTACATCGCAGTTTTTCAACGATTCTATGCAATAGTCGGTAATTTGTTGTATGTTGACTTTTGCTCCTGCCCCAAAGGCATTGCCAGTTATCAAGTTCACTTTTAAGCTTCAAACGTTGCACGACGTTGTCATTATCCAAAGGTTTTCAAAGTACAAGCTTTTTCAGGAAACAGCACACTCGGTTGAAATTCATTAGACCCTGTAGTATTCTTCGCAAGTTCTCACGCTTCGCAAGTTTTTGCGTTTTCTTTGTTGGCAGCAGATTCTTGGTTTTTCTTCGTCAATTTTCACTTCTGTCGCCATAATTCTCGTATCTGAATAAACGAATCGAAAATGTTTTTTGACTTCGATTTCGGACGGTACAAGCATCGTATCTATCATTGTTGATGCCTATTATGTGGGAAAACTTGGAGTATTGTACTCTGTGGAGAATGTATCAATCGAACAGATACAGATAGAGCTGAATTCCCATATTCCCTCTTCTGAATCCGCAACTGATATATAATATATATATATATTTTTTTTTTATTTTATAAAAGCTTACATAAYAATACAATTATTATACAAACTTAAGAAAATACGCAGCACTAGCATCATGGGCTATCGGCCGAATATAATATATTATATCATTTATAACAACTAATTCACTGATGAACTCTTTTTACTAAAGCATACAACAATCCACATTGATTTTCATGAACATTTTCTTTGCTCAGGCATCAAGTTAAAATTTTAAAATTCTTAACAAACCTAAACACATGCCACTTACTTTCAATAAGAAGAGACATTCGAAGTATTATAATTGAATATAGTTTATAGTATATTGGAGATTTATTATGATGATTTAAAGAGATGTGAGGTTTCAGAGCTTATTGCGTACAGGAAAAAGGTAATGTTGCTTGCGATTTTGATCTTAGCACCAATATGAAAGTAATCTTAAGCTGGTATATGTATGACGCAACATTGTAAAAACTTTCTATACTCCTTATCGCCTAGTAAATTTTAATGTTGAATGCATTTTTATGGCCAAAACTAAAAAAGTTGGTTTCCATTAGCACCTATCAAGGCAAAATCTCATTTTTATGGCAATGACAGCTGTATGACTAGCAATGGTTACGTGACACAAACATCGAAACACCACCAACATGGAAATGATGCGGTTTCTGCCACATAATCACTCGGCCGAGTCGTGTACATATGAACTTATCGACCCACACTACTTAATAAAGCTGGTAGGTCTCATAGACCACTCGACAAGTTCTACGAAACATTCTTGCAGATCTTATGGTATTGGTGGGTGTTTGTCGATCAATCAAACATTTGACTGTTTACGCATTTGAATCTCATACCTTCCAGCAAAAATCACATCATAAGCCGCATTAAAATTTTAAAAGCATTATTTGTTTGCTGCAAAATTTTCTTAATTTAACAGAAATGCGATCGACCAAAATCGCGAAATGAACATAAACTGGTAACACAATAAAACGCTGGCTTGTACAAGGTGGCTCATACCAAAACTGGTGACACAATCGTGGGCGTAAAGTCTATAGTTGGCTCGTTGATTATTCAATTGGCAACTTGTTTGACCATTGACGCTTGCGGATCGCGTTCGCGTTGCTATGTTCGTTTCTTAAGTCTTTCTACATTTTTATTTCGCTGCTTGCTTTTTATGCATTCAAAATCGTTCTTTGAATTTGTGACTTTTGCCAGCCAACGCAGCGAACGACTTCAACGTCGACCTACCCATGTCTGAGATTAACTGCTACTAGATATTTTCATACCTACATGAGCACATATATAGTACGCAGAAGCACAAATATGTATTTGGTTATGCGACGCATCGGTCTAACTTTTGCATAATAAATTTCCAGTGCTGCCATTGCCAACCAATTGTAAATAAATATTAACGCATTTATAAGGAGAAGGCATAGACTCATATGCATATAACTATTTACAACTTATACATACACATATGTATTGATTTTCTTGTACTTGTTTTTTTCTTTTTGTTGCTTTTGCGGTAGAATGGAAATTCTTTTGTACATTGCAACATAGTATATTTCAGCACTGTTCAATTATTCAATGACTTCATTATTTTTGTTTTGCTCATTGAATAAAATTCAATAAACTCAAAATTGTTCGAGCTAGTTGTTTGCGACAGAAGTGGTGCCTTATCGAATGAATTGTATGCAAATTTTATTAAAATGCAGTTGTTAAAATTTGCTTACAGGAACTTACATTTGTATTCATATTTGTATTTAAATGCAAATCCTTTAAAGAATTTTATTTTTCTTACAAAGCCTTGGTCTTTTTTTTTTTTTTGAAAATAAGAAACCCTAAATTTTTAGTCCGATTTTAAACCAATTTTTCAACATTTATTGTAACTGCTTTCATTGTAGACAAGGTTGGTAAGTTAGAAATATCGGTTATAATGAATATCGTTGAGAGAATATCTAGGTTATTGAAAATATTTTGAAAGGTTTACTGAAACACAATTTCCTAAGGCAGAATTAATGTTTTTGAGGCTTAGTTAATATTTTTCTTCAACTAACTTGGGTTTACATAAATTATCACCTCTAGCCATGAGATCAAGAAAGTACACGATAAACGCATGTGGAAAATTCGTTAAAACTGGTGTTCCAATAAGTGTATACAAAAAAGAAAAGTAACTCATCGAGAAAACTTTTCTTTAACATTACCCATGTTTTATAAATTGTCATACATATATCATAGTGGTT